CGCTGGGGCCCCCCGGCGGCGCCTCCGGCGCCGCCCCTGTCGCGCTCCGCGCGCCAGGGAGGGGGGTCCAGCGCGGATCCAAGAAATCTGCGCGGACTTCCAAGTTTTTATGTTTATGCCATTTGTCGTTCCACTATTTTAGCCCCGCGCTCGGGCACACATGTCCAATTCGGTGTGTGCGCGTGCGTGGATGTGTGTGTGTGTGTGTGTTTGTGTTTGTGTGCGTTTGTGTTTGTGTGTGTTTCTGTTTGTGTTTGTGTATGTGTATGTGTGCATGTGTATGGAGTGTGCGTGTACGTGTGTACCTGAGCGGGCCCGCCGGCTTCCTCTCTTCCCGTTTCGCTGGGGTATATTCCTTCTCTTCCGCGCGTTGCGGCCCAACTTGCATATAGCGCGCCCCACTGATGCCCGATCGCCGGAGCAGTAACCTCTGCCCAGCCACCGACGCAAAAACGTATGCGTGTCTCTCTCTCGCTCTTTCTCTCTATCTCTCTCTCGCTCCCGCGCCCGACTATCGTCAAATTCCGCCCCTCGTGAACTTGGAGGACCGCCCGAGCTCCCCGCGGCGCCGTCCGCCGATCCACCAGGCGCTCTCGCCGCCACCCCGCCAGGGAGCCTCGCTCCGCGCCCCGCCTCCGCGCCCGAGCCGCGCCTGCGCCCCGCCCGGGGCGCTGGGCTCAGGTCGGGCATGTCCTCGTACAGGAGGATGTTGGGCGAAATATGTGAAATTGTCCAAAAGATTACATTTAAATATTTAGATAACAATAAGAATAATCATAAATAAATAAATAAATAGATAAATAAATAAATAAATAAATAACTAGTAACGAAAATTTGAATATCCAGAATCATAATCGTACTAATAATACGAATAAGAATAATAATAATCAAACTCATACTTATAATCATACTAATAAGAAGAAGATGATGATAATGATGGTCATGATGAGTAACAGCAACAATGATACTAAAAATAATAATAATATGAATAATAATACGAATACGAATAATCCGAATGATGATACGAATGCGAATAATAGTAATAATAGGAATAGTACTAATAATGGCAACATAATAATAATAATAATCATAATAATAATAATAATAATAACAACAACAACAACAACAACAACATAACAACCAGAAACAATACAAAATCTCATGGCTGGCTGTTGCTTAATGAAGATATTCCTCCAGTAGAAGCACAGGCCCGACGTAACGCTAGGCAAGGCAGCCGGCGCGCTCTAGCCGCCCGGGCGCGCTCGGCGTGTGCGGCGCGGAGGCCTCCGCCCGCGGTGCCGCCACGGCGAGGGCGCTCGGAGCCTCCCTGGCCACGGTTAGGTCGGTCGTGTCCCTCTTACAGGAGGCATATTCAGAAGTAATCCAAAAATGGTCCGGGGGGGCGACCTTTTTGAGAATGTCCCTGGATAGCTGTTTGATTTTTTGGAGGGGATATGTAAAAGTTTTCGTCCTAAATCCGCCTGCAGGGGGGCATGCCCGACCTGACCCCACGGCCGGGGGGCGCCGCCTCGGGCAGGCCGCCGCTGCCTCGGGCAGGCGCGGCCTGGCTCGGCGGCGCCGCCGCCACGGCAGCGGCGAGCGCCGCGCGGGGCGGCGGGCGCCGTCGGGCGGCGAGGGCGCGCGGCCCCGCGCGCGAGCGAGGGGGGCGCGGCCTCGCGCTCGAGCGAGGGCGCGGGCGCGGCCTCGCGCTCGAGCGAGGGGGGGGGAGTCGAGCGAGCGGGGCGGCGCCGTCTCGTCGGCGCTGGGCGGGCGGGCTCCCGAGGTTGGCGGGGCCGGCGTGTGCCGCAGGCTCCTGTCGTGCCGACGCGGTTGCCACCCGGACACAATACGAGGCCGTTGTGTCATCATCATCATCATCATCATCATCATCATCATCATCATCATCATCATCATCATCATCATCATCATCATCATCATCATCATCATCATCAGCATCATCAGCAGCAGCAGCAGCAGCAGCAGCAGCAGCATCATCAGCAGCATCATCAGCAGCATCATCAGCATCATCAGCATCAGCATCCGCATCCGCATCCGCATCAGCATCAGCATCAGCATCATCCTCATCATCATCATCATCATCATCATCATCATCATCATCATCATCATCATCATCATCATCATCATCATCGAGATAGTTTTTTACGTGGCGCTCCCTCGGGAAGAGCTCTGGGCGACTGCGCTCCCTCACGCCTGCCACTCTAAGCCAAAAGGCTACGGATGACAAGAGCGATGTTCCTACCCTCCTGCCCCATCCTACCCTCCTACCCCATCCTGGCGCGGGCGCGCAGGGCTGAACACCGCCAGTGGCCGGGAATCGGCACGCCCTGGCGAGCGAAAAGCCCCCGATCGTTCAAGCTTCAGCGACCCACGCGGTGTCAGAGACCAACGCTGGAGTCATCACGACACGAACTTGCCGAATACGCCTCCCTGGCCAAGCCAGGAGGGATACGCCGATGCAGGCCCAGGGTGGGTCCAACCAGGATCGGTGAGGTGGTAAGCAGGCGTCCCCCGAAAGGTTTCATCGCTGGCCTGTCGCTTTTCTGGTGCACGCTGCGGGGCAGCCCTGCTCTGGCGAGACAATAGAGGGGCCCGACCACAAGAAACCTTCCACAAGAAACCCAACCCTGAGACCCCAGGACGCCAATCGGTTATTAGTGTGGGCACGTCACGCTTTCCATAGCAACACCCTCGAAACCCAAGAAGCTCAGGGCACCCCGGAGGCAAGTAGGGTGTTTCTTGGCATGGGCCCCCACTGTGTCGCAGCCCTCGAGGTGGCGCAGTCATCGCCGCCTGGTTGATATGATGAGGTGAAAGCAAGTGCCGCTCTTCGCCAGGCTGGGGGAGGCAAGGGGGGGAGGCGTGTTGGAAGGTCGCCTTGCTCCCCCCTTGCCCCCCATCTCTTCGAGGAAGCGCAAAAACATGGATTGATTGAGACGCGTGAATTAGCCATGCGTCTCATTCCATACAGAATCTGCGCGCCTCGTCGTCAAATCAGGCGGCACTTGCCCCATGCTTCGGGGCACCTTCACCGATCCGTGGATCTTTCGCCCACAGGCCAGACCCACGGATCCCTATGTTCACGAACTTTTTGGCTTAGCGTGTCGCCCCGCTGATTCTGGCACACCACGCTTCGGCGCGACACGCTATCCACGTCCCGTTGCCAGGTGTCAAGCCTCTCACAGCCTCCCGCCCCGCGAATCGGAGCGCCACGCCATCCGATTGGAAGGCAGAGCGCGTCGCAGGGGCCGCCGCCACGACGCGCTGAGCCAAAAGCTCCCGGCACGTCAGTCCATGTTGGCGCGTGTCCGCCCTCCGCGCGCTGCCAGCACCAGGAGCAGCGCAGCAGACCGGAGGGTGGCGAAAGGGGCGGCGGCGGCGGCGGTGGCAGCAAGCCACGCGGGGGGGGGAGGCTCGATCGGGCGCCGCCAGCAACGCTTGCCCTCGAGTCGCGGCGCCACGCGTTCGACCCTCCAGTGGCCTCCTCGGGGTCCCGCGCGTGAAGGCGGGGGCCAGGAGCTCCAAGCTCATGGAGGCGGAGGTCTGGGCAGCAAAGGCAGCGCGTGCGAGCGGCAGCGCGGGTGCACCACAGCATATATTGATCTGCCGTACCGCATGATGCGTTCAGCCTGCTCGCGTGCTCCATCGGACAAGCCGGGCATGCTTCAGGATGATGCGCCATGGGAGGCTTGGGGGAATGAGTTTTAAATGATGCGTGACGCTACTGGGTTAAAGAATTCAGAAGGTTTAGGTACCTGGCGCCCCATGATGCGAGTCGAGCTTCGCCGCGGTTTCTTATCTTCCCGTCTCATCGCTCCTCCCCGTCGCTTCGCTTCCATGGAGGGACACAGGAAGGAAAGGGGGGAGGAGGGAACGGCAATGGGCAGGGGCAGCAGGGCGGAGCAGTTTCCTGCCCCCCTCCACGACACGTATCGAAATCATCCCCTCGAAGGAGCCAGTTCGTGTCGGGGTCAATTCACTGGCGCTGGCGGCACCAGGGTCAAGGGATGGGACAGGGCCTGAAGCAGAGCCGCTCTGGCCAGAGCGATGTCCAGGCCATGGAGCTCGACGCAATTCTCACGTCGCAGGGAAGGAGAGGGAGGAGGAGGGGTAGGAGGAGGAGGAGGAGGAGGAGGAGGAGGGTGAGCAGAACTCTGAAGCCACCGGAGTCAGCATCAGGAGGAGGAGGAGGAGGATAGGATAGGAAAGGAGGAGGAGGAGGAGGAGGAGGAGGAGAGGAGAGGAGAGGAGAGGAGAGGAGAGGAGAGGAGAGGAGAGGAGAGGAGAGGAGAGGAGAGGACAGGAGAGGGGAGGGGAGGCGAGGAGAGGAGAGGAGAGGAGAGGAGAGAAGAGAAGAGAAAAGAGATGAGGAGGAGGAAGAGGAGGAGGAAGAGAAGGAGGAGGAGGAGCAGCAGGATGAGGGGGAGCCAGGACGAGGTGAGGCCTCGTTGTGCGGCGTGGCCGAGTCTGTGCCCGCTGCGCGCTTGAGCCTGATGATCCCCTGGGTGATTGACCATTCGCCCTTGTGCTCTGCCTTAGTGCGAAGGCCTTTCGGCTGGTGCCGCCGACCCTGAATGGCGACAACGACGGCGACGACGACGATGACGACGACGATCGCTCTCGGGGGCCTCTTGGGGGTAGTTTGGGGGCCTCTTGGAAGGCTCTTGGGGGCCGCTTGGGAGCCGCGTAGGCGCCTCTTGGCTTCCTGGGGGTCTCTCGGGGGCCTCCTGGGAGCTTAGGCCGAGGGCTCGAAATGACCGTTCGGGTCCCCCGTCTGGGCTCCCTCTTGGAGCCGCCTTGGGAGCTTCTTCGGCTGTCTTAGAGGCCTCTTGGGCGGTCTTGGGTCGTTCTGGGGCCCTCTTGGAGTCCTCTTGGTCCATCTTGGGGCGGTCTTAAAGGCTTCTGGGCCTGCCTTGGAGCGTCGGGAAGCTGAAAAGGCGAGAATGCCGAAATCTTTCAAAAACTAAGGGAAATCGATGATTGTTGCCCCTTGGAACCCTCTTGGAAGTCCTCTTGGAGGCCTCTTAGGGCGTTCTGGAAGCCTTTTGAGCCGTCTGGAAGCTACTCTGGCGACTTTGACCGATACTTCGGCGATTCGGTGCCCTCGAGGACCGTCTTGGGGGCATCTTGGGGCACTTTTGACGCGTCTTGGGGCTGTTCTGGGCCCCCGAACCGCCCGGGGGAGAAGTCGTATCTGGGTGGCGACCCTCCCCAGGGGGGAGTCGTATTTGCGTGGCGACCCCTCCTGGGACTCCCCCCCCCCGGACCCCCCAGGGAAGGGGCTTCCCTTCGACTCAACCACAACGTTGCTCAATTTCGCTGTGGATGGCGTGCTAGAGAAGGAGGGCCCAGTGAAAGTAGGGGGAGCAGCGACGGGCCTAGGGAAAGGGGAGGGGAGCGGCGAAGGCGACGACGACGACGACGACGACGACGACCACGACGACCACGACCACGACCGCGACCACGACCACGACCACGACCACGACCACGACCGCGACCACGACCACGACGACGACGACGACGACGACGACGAGTCAAACGGAACAGCCTCTTCCACACGCCGACAGGGTCGGCGCATTCTAGTCAGGGGGCGCACAGACTCACCAGAGACGGTTGGCGATGACCCGCAGGGATTTTTTACCAGTTATCACCCCTTTTTCGTCTCCTCCTCCTCCTCCTCCTCCTCCTCCTCCTCCTCTTCCTCATCCGTTCTTCTTCCCCCCTCTAAGGAGCGCTGCGCGGCTGCTGGAAGTTCAAAGCCTCACGCCACATGACACCGCCGACCCCTTGGTGTCTTGCGGTTTCCCGAGCATTTTCTTGTTGTCGTCATGGCGCAACGTTTGGTACCGTTAGCCCCTAGAGGCCGGTGGAACCATCGGGGTGGGTCGGTTTGACGGCGGTTACTGGCGTTCGCGCCTGCTGCTCCTTGGTTTGCTTCCGTCGTAGCCCTCGCGCCACAGAGGAGTGGTAGTGACGTTGCTTATGTTAATTATGATGGTGCTGCGCACAGACGCCCCGTTGCTCCCTGGGTGCTTCGTGAGGTGCTGCTCGCGAGCTGGGCCGCGAAGGCAGAGATACGAGCGGGCCAGAGCCCCTTGTCGCACGCAAGTACTCGACGGGTGGGCATTACAAGGTTGCTTGTGCCACGGGAAACTGGAGTCCTCAGGCGTCGCGGGGTGCACGTCCAGAGCGCGTAGGGCATGGGCATTTGGAGGGTAACTGGGAGCCTTCGGGAGGCCCCTTGGGGCTTGGGGGCACAGTGGGGGCATATTCTTTAGACGCCCTGGAGCCGTCCGGCGCCCTCGAAGGCCGTTTTGGTGGCCTCTCTGGGGCCGTCCTGGTGGGCTCTTGGGCCACCTTGGGCCGTCTTGGGGTCCTCTTGAAGGTTTCTTGGGCTGTCTTTGGGCGACCAGGGGGAACTCTTAGACCGTCTCGGGCGCTTCAGAAACAAAAAAACACTAATAGATTGGGAAAGTAGGTTTCTCTCCAGCAATGGGCCGAGTTTTGCTGGTTGGGGCCCTCTGGGGAGTCCTCCTGGAGCCTTCAGAGGCACCTTGTAGATTTGGGGTTGTGGCCACGTGGGGGCCATTTTGGACAGTCTTTGGGACTCCTGGTGCCATTACGGTGCCGTCCGAGGCCGCCCAGGAGCATTTCTTGGGCCAGCCCAGGCAACCAGACCTTTCCGCCCCCCTCAAAATCGGCTGGACTGGGCTCCCACGGGAGGGCTTGGGGAGGGGCAACAGTCTCGCACGCCGAGTAGACCCCAACGGGTCTGCGAACATTCCGCGATACCAGATGCTGTCGTTCGTGGTTGCTTCGCTGTGTTTTCTCAGTTGTCCTTCTTTTCCAGAAGATGCGCTAGACAAAAAGTGTTTTCGTGTTCGCCAGAGCGACGCGAAGGAAGGGTGGCGATTGCCCGGACAGTCGCGCGCGAGCTTCCCGAGTAGGGTCGCGCATGAGCGCCCTCTTCTACGCGCGGTCTGGCCCGCTGGCTGTTTACAGAGTCACCACGTGAAGTCGCCGCGCCGTTGTGCCTAAGACCCCTTCTTGTTTCTCGCGTCGCTCGCTTTTTTCACCTGGCCGCACGGAAGGAGGGAAAGAAGGAAGGGGGGTCTGCCTCGGCCAGAATGGCGCCCTGGGCACCAGGCCCAGCCAGCGGCTGGGAGTGGTTCAGGGCCTCCTCCCCTCCTCCTGTTCCGTCTCCCCGTCTCCCTCCTCCTCCGTTTGTTGTTGACGCTGGTGGTTTCAGAGTTGTCTTACTCCCATTCCTCCTCCTCCTCCTCCTCCTCCTCCTCCTCCTCCTCCTCCTCCTCCTCCTCCTCCTCCTCCTCCTCCTCCCCCCCCCCCCCCCTCCTGCTCCTCCTCCTTCTCCTTCTCCTCCTCCTGCTCCTCCTCCTCCTCCGATTCCTCCTCCTCCTCCTCCTCCTCCTCCTCCTCCTCCTCCTCCTCCTCCTCTTCCTGTTCCTGGTCATCCTCCTCCTCCTCCGCCTCTTCCTCCTCCTCCTCCCGCACCAGGCCGCCCGCTGCAGGCTTGGGCGGTTTGATTTTTTGTGTTGTCCACGGACATAACGAAACATATGTTTCTGTAGTCCGACACACAAGGAATCGATGCGTATGCCATTCGAAAAGAAACCTTCTTCCATCCCACGTACACAAGCTCCTTTCGCGGCGGAACGCAAACTGATTCCTTACGCGGCCGAATACAACGGAATTGTTTGGTGTCGGATTACAGAAAGGCTTCCCCTTTGCGGCGGAATACATAAGGATTCCCTGCGTGACCAAATACTAAAGGTTTCCCGCTGTGGCAGAATACAAGAATTCCTTGTGTGGCGAAATTAAAGATAATTTTTTGGGGTGGGGACTAAATACATGTCAGCCAGCGTTGACCCAAAGTATATTAGACGACTCAAATCCAGGAATCAGAGGGGTCAAGCATGCTTGGAATCCGCAACTCAGCAAGCAAGCAAGCGTGCAAGCAAGCGCACAAGCAAGCGCACAAGCAAGCAAGCAGGCATAGGCATAGGCGTAGGCATCGGATTTTGAGGCATTGACATAGCCATTGCTATAGGAATTAGGGGGCATAGGAACTTGGGTGGGGGGACAAAGGACCGATTAGTAGGGTTTGAGTTGGGACTCCTACACGGCAAGCCTACTCGGAGAAAACGGGGCTTCTTATAAGGCTAAATACAAAAAGAACTCCTCTGTGAGCGGCGATGGAGGGGAAAATTATTGAAAATAAACAAAAACAGCATGGCTTCGACAGAGGTGTGGCGATGGCCCAAGGAGATGTACCCGAAATCCTGTGTTGTTGTTGGTTTGTTGGGTTTTTTCGTTGTGTCAATGGCGTGGCGTTCCTCCCCCTTTCCCCTGTTTAGGGAAGGGGGATCCATTTATACTTCGCCTTAGAAGGAGTCATGTTTGTATTCCGCCACAAAAAAAAAAACGCTTCATTCCGCCACAAAAGTGATTTTGCTGTTGTATGCCACAAAGGAATATTTGCTGTATCCGGCCACAAATGGATTCCTTCTAAATTCCGCCACAGATGGAAACCCGTGGTAATCAACCACAGAAGTATTCCTCGTGAGTTGCGCCACGAGAGGAGTGAGCATTCCGACACCACAGGGATCCTTTGTGCACTCTGTCACAAAAGGAATCCTTGTGTCTTCCGTCACAGCGAGAACCTGTTTCCCATTTTGCCACAAGAGAATTCCGCCACATAAGGAAACCCGGGGCAACCAACCACTGAACGATTTTGCTCGCACTCTGCCACAAAAGGAACCCCTTTGTAACCCACCACATAAGAAATCACTCATTATCCCGCGAGAACAAGTAAAATCTTTGTTATGCAGCCTGCCGCAAAGGGAATCCTTCTGCATTCCGCTACAAGGAGAACCCTTTTTGCACTCGGCCCCTAAAGGAGTGTCTTTGCATACCACCACATGAGGGAATCCTTTGCAATAAACCACAGAAGGGTTCCCCTTGTGTTCTGCCACAAAATGAATCCTTTAGTGATCCGCCACAACAGGAATCCCTTAGTATCCCGCCATACAAGTAATCTTTTTCAAAGTCTACCACAAGGGG